GCCCTGCCGGCGCCTCCCAAGCTCCTCGCCCTGCCGGCGCCTCCCGAGCTCCTCGCCCTGCCGGCGCCTCCCGAGCTCCTCGCCCTGCTGGCGCCTCCCAAGCTCCTCGCCCTGCCGGCGCCGCCCAAGTTCCTCGCCCTGCCCAAGCTCAAGATTCACGCCCTGTCGGCTACGCCCAAGCTCAAGCTTCATGCCCTGTCGGCTCCGCCCAAGCTCAAGCTTCATGCCCTGTCGGCTCCACTTATGTTCCGCTCTCTGTCAGCTGTACCCCAGCTGCTTGCCCTGCCGGCTCCCTTCTTGAGGCAGGCTCCACTCTTGCTGCCGTCCCCGCCCTGGCCTCCTGCCCTGCCAGCCCCACCCTGGCCTCCTGTCCTGCCAGCCCCACCCTGGCCTCCTGCCCTGCCGGCCGCACCCTGGCCTCCTGCCCTGCCGGCCCCGCCCTGGCACCCTGGTTTACCTCTATCCCCAGGGCCTCTTCCACTACACGGGCCTGGCCCACCATCCCTCCCCCTGATCCACCTCCGTTCCGCCTCCCTCCGGGATTGCTCATGGAGCGTCTGGAATCCGCTCCTTAAGGGGGGGGTTCTGTCACAGTCTTCAGCCGGTGTGCCCAGGAGGGCCACCAGATGACTGTGTTCTGGGAGCACATGGCTTGTGTTGTGTTTGTCTCTCCTGTCTATTGTCTGGCCCCTCCCATCTTGTTACCTCGTTATTGTTTAAGTTGCTCCACCTGTGTCTCCCTCGTTTGGTTCCTATTTATTCTCCTTGTGTCTGTCATCCTGTGCTGATCCGTCATTTCTCATTGTGTGTGTTTCGTGTCTGCATGTAGTGCAGCTTTGAGCCTGCTTGTCTGTTTTTCCCCTTCGGGGTGGTTTGAGATTGTTTTTGTTACATTTTTATTATTCCAAATAACCATTTCTCCTGCAATTGAGTCCTCGCTTCATCTCCCCGTATGCACGTGTGACAGAATTGGTTTGGAAAGTGAATAATGCATAGGAAAAACTTTAGACATTGTTCTAAACTTGGGCTTTAAGTTATGCAAATAGACCTCATGCCAGAGAGGGGCCATACCATGTCAATCAAAATGCTGGATCTGAAAGGCGCCAACTTGCAAATCCCTCCTTCTCAGGAAAGATTAAAAGGTTCATTTCAAGACAAAGAAGTGTGCAAAGTTACACCATGCTAAGCTGTTGTTGTTGTTGTTAAGCTCTATGTTGCTAAGCTGCTACAGTACGCTGAGGTATTTTCCAGGAGAAACAAAGAAG